AAATTGCATTTAATAATAAAAATTTCATTTCAACATTTAAATTACACGCGTGTAAAATAATGATAATAATGATAATAATCCGCACAAGTGAGTTTAATAACGTAAAACCGCAAGAAAACAACAACAACAACAAACAATTCCTTCGAGTAATTTAATATAATTTTTATTATAAAAATAAAAAAAAAAAAAAATTTTTTTATGCGTTTTTAAAAAGTCGTTTACCATTTAGCGTATACGCACGCGCACTCACATTCTCTTATCAGTGATAAGTACGTGTATTACAAACGGTAATGAATATAATAATACTAATAAATAAATAAATAAATAAAATTAATTTTTTTTTTTTTCGTTAAGTAAATTCAGGCTGACGCACGCACTCACGCGAGCGCGTTACTCTACCTCGCGTTTGTTATCAAACTTTTGTTTGTTGTCGTTGTTGTTGTTTATCACGTGGAAAAAAATTTTTTTATGCGTTTGTTTAAATTAAAATATTTTTGTAATTAAAATGAATTTAATTGTTTTTCCCTCTCTCTCCCTTTCTCTCTCTGCATGAATCAGACTGAAATAATCGCGACGGACGTCCATTTTGTTTTTTTTTTTTTACTTCCCACGTATTCATTTATCGACGATTAGAAAATGAATAATAATAATAATAGTGTAATAAATGCATCGTGCGAACGATAACGTTATGATAATAATAATAATAATAATAATAATAATAATAATAATAATAATAATAATAATAATAATAATATTCAAACAAATTCGTTTGAAAAAAAAAAAAAAAAAAATTATCCCACGAAAACTAGCAAAGATCATTTCATTGTTGCAAATTGAAATTGAAATTTGGAATTTTTTTCCCGCCAAAATAATTTAATTTTTTTTTTTTTTAAACGGAAACGGTTGAATAATTTTTAAAAAACTTTAATTATATTTTTTTCTTTTAATAAGGATCGTGATCCTTTTAACGTCTCTCTCTCTCTCCCTCTAAGATGAAATCAAAAACCCGTGACGAAAGAAAAATAAGATTTTAACATCAACGTACCTGTACCTGAATTTTTTTTTTTTAAACTTTCAGAAACCAAAAAAAAAAAAAATTTTTTTTTAATACGAAACTTAGTAATTTGCACTAATTTATTACATCCGCCAGATTAAAAAAAAAGAAAATCTGTTGAAAATTCAAACGTAAAATTTTGGCGACATCCGCAATAAGTTTCTCATTTCCTTTTTAAATAAAAAAAAAACATGGCGGAAAATTTTTTAAAAAAAGTTTTACACAAATTCAAAAAATTTTTTTTTTTATTTTTATTATCGCCATTTTTGTTCGCCATTTTGATTCAGATAATCGATTACGTTTTTCCCCCCATTTATAATTTTTTTTTTTTTTTATTCAAAATTCCTTTTTTTTTCAGGTATGTTTTTTGTCATCGACATCTAACATTTTTTTTTTTTAATGTTTTCCATCGAAAAAAGTATAATGATAATAATAATGATAAATAATTTTTAGTACGAATTTCAGGTACTCGTTCGATATAATATTTTGTTCCAGAAAAAAATGTTCCACGTTTGGATTTTTTTTTTTTTCCTTATAATCAAAAAAAAAATTTCTAGAAATTTTTTTTTTATGCCTTGCCTCTCTTATCATTATCTATCCTCGTCTCTTATCATTAAAATTTTTATTTAAAGGGAGCCAAAAACAAAACGAAAAACTCCTCACGAAATAAAAAAAAAATTCCAGGGATTTGTTTTTTTTTTTTAATTAATTATTAATCACTGGACAATTTCAACAAGTCTTTAATTAAAATAATAATAATAATAATAATAATAAATATTTCTTTTGTTACTTTGCGTGAGTTATGAAAATATCGTTGTAAGAAAAAAAAACAAAGTAATAATAATAATAATAGGTGAGATAATGATAATTAAAAAGTTTTTCCTTTTTTTTTTGTAAAATTGTTTAATCGATTTCTTAAAACCATAATTAATTTAAGAAAAAAAAAATAATAATAATAAAAGCTCCGTTTTATTATTTTTAAGAAGGCGTCGAAAATTTCCTTCTTTTTTCAGGGACGTAAGAAGGATTATAAAAAATTTAATTCATTCTGTAAAATTAACTTTCATTTGCCACATTTTCTTTTTTTTTTTTTTTTTTTATTAAGTAAACTTAAAAATATTTTTTATTACTTTTTAAATGATTATTATTATTATTTGAAGCTAATGAAAATTGTTTTTTTTTTGCAATAATAATAATAATAATAATAATAATAATAATAATAATAATAATAATAATAATAATTTGAATTATTTTTTAAATCGCCAATAAAAAAAAAGGAAAATTGAATTAATTCCAGTCATTCATTTTTTTGTCCAGAATTTTTTTTTTTTTCGTATCATCCTCATGTTATTTTTTGAAGTTATTAAACATAAAAAGGAAATGAAAATTTCCTTATTTGGTAAAATGTTTAAAAAAATACTGGAAACATAAAATTTATAATTTTCACATCTGGAAAATTTCTCGCGTTTACACATTTATTATTAATTAAGGGATGATTTGTAAATTTAAATAAATAAATAAATAACGGTTTTTATTTATTTAATACTTTAGTGTCGATTAATACGGGGGAAAAAAATTTATTATTATTATTATTATTATTATTATTATTATTATTATTATTATTATTTAATGT